TCTTGTGCTTGAAGATTGTGAATACTGGTGATCTGTTCATCTAGCACCCACTGTCCTCTCACTGCTCACAGAACTTCAGTTTTACTTAAGTTGCCTCCACCTTCCAACCTCTGTGATTTAAGGAACACCCACCCCACTGCCAATTCCAATTATGGTAATCCCCTTTTGCATGGGGGCCAGGCACAGAGATCAAACTCACAGTGGTCCCAGCTGCCTGGAATAAGGCTGTGTATGGGCCCGAAAGTATTGAGCTATGAACCTAAGACCTTCCTGTGAAAGATACCATGGCTAATGTCTTATGTGGGAGAAGCCTTGTTGGCCATTGTGGGACCTGCTTTGCCGAAGACCTGCATCATTTAACCAGTTGGAAAATACAGGTTGTTAACAGCGACATCATCTGGCTACATGATGCAATGACAGCGGTGGGCAGATGAGCCGCCTGGCCTTCTCTTCAGGTGTGTGGAAGTTGGATTTTCCCTCAGGAATTTTTGGATCACTCAACTACCTATGAATTTTTAAAAATGGGTATGGACCCTATTTGTATATCCTCAACTTATTAAACTGAGAACTAGAGGATTGAGCTGACCTCCTTTTGTGAAAAAAAAAAGCAGCAATCATATTTGTATACTGTTGGAGCTGTTTTTACAGTTGTTTTTGTGTTGTTGTTGTTTTTTTTACAGTTTTCACATATATAACAGGATTCAAAAAAATTAGGCTTGAAGACACCCAGACAAAAAACAACAACTTTCCATTTCATGCCTCTTTTGAAAACTTGTCTATTGTTCCCTATCACGCCAAGATAAAGCCCCAGCTTCTTAGCATACTTCCTGAGGCTTTCCTCCTCAGCCTCTCTAGTGATGCAACACATTCTTCAACTTTCTCAGGAAGCCCTCAGTAAGTCCCACAATATTTGTACATGTTTGGGGAGTTAGGTTTTTTAGGGAGGGCAGATATGAGCTGCACAGAAGGGACCCAGCATCATTTAACCAGTTGGAAAATACAGGTTGTTAACAGCGACATCATCTGGCTACATGATGCAATGACAGCGGTGGGCAGATGAGGCGCCTGGCCTTCTCTTCGGGTGCGTGGAAGTTGGATTTTCCCTCAGGAATTTTTGGATCACTCAACTACCTATGAATTTTTAAAAATGGGTATGGACCCTATTTGTATATCCTCAACTTATTAAACTGAGAACTAGAGGATTGAGCTGACTTCCTTTTGTGGAAAAAAAAATAAAGCAGCAATCATATTTGTACACTGTTGGAGCTGTTTTGTGGGTTTTTTTGTGTTGTTTTTTTTTTTTTTACAGTTTTCACATATATAACAGGATGCAAGAAAATTAGGCTTGAAGACACCCAGACAAAAACAACAACTTTCCATTTCATGCCTCTTTTGAAAACTTGTCTATTGTTCCCTATCACGCCAAGATAAAGCCCCAGCTTCTTAGCATACTTCCTGAGGCTTTCCTCCTCAGCCTCTCTAGTGATGCAACACATTCTTCAACTTTCTCAGGAAGCCCTCAGTAAGTCCCACAATATTTGTACATGTTTGGGGAGTTAGGTTTTTTAGGGAGGGCAGATATGAGCTGCACAGAAGGGACCCAGCTGGGCTTAATTACAAAAAACAACAAAACGGTAAGGTTTGCTAAGCACTTGTGAAATAGGCATTATAATAATGTGCTTTTGAGTTATTAATGTGCACATGAAGTTTTCTCTAACCTTTCTTCCCTGTATTGCTGGGGAATTCTTATTCATCATTCCTCATCATTCTTCTTAAGTATTTCTCCAGGTTGGCCATTCTCGAGTATGGCTGCACATTGGAATCATTTGGGGAGCTTTCCAAACCATGGGCACCTGGGGCCCACACTGGAGATTCTGATTTAATTGGTCTGAGGCCTGAGCAACAAGGGTTTCAAAGCTCCCTGGTTAATTCTAATGTGCAGCCAGGGTTGAGGACCACTGGTTTAAGAAGACTTCAGTGACTGACTTAGGTAAGCCTCCTTCTCTGTCCCTCCTGAGCCCGTCACAGCCCTTCTCTGATCAGATCACAATGTCTCTTAATTTCAGAGTGCATACTCATTCTCCTTAACTAGACTTTGAGTATCTCCAGACAGCCACCTCTGGAGCCCGATGTAGGTCCTGACATTTTGTGGAGATTTGGAAAATGACGAATGGGAGGGTAAAATGTCACCAACAAACGCTTTTAGGGGCCTCCAAATGCCAGGCGCCGCAGTGCTCAGCCAGGTCTGGAACATAGAGAACAGCTGATGGGTCCTGCAGCAAGAACTCGCAGTGAGGGCGGGTGTAGGTGTCGGGCGGGCAGTCTGTGGCGGCCACGTGCCCCGGGCCTCCCTTTCACCGATAGCCTTAAATGTGTATTTCTTACCAGTAAGTCGCCCGGGCAAAGTAGAGCTCCCGGTAGGTCAGGGGTTCTCAACCTTGGCTGCACATTAGAATCACCTGGGAATCTTT